TACTTCTGGGCTCTAGGAGAATGGGTATGAGTTTAGGTAAGCTCTTAAGTGAGATGTGTCTGTTCTAGGTTGTTATGGTGTGTCCCCTGACAAGGCCACTGAAGACTGGATGTGCTCCAGGTGTACAGAAAATGCCTTAGAAGAGGTAACGTTTCTCATAAGTTTTTCACCGATGGGCTCTGGTACATCTGGGAACTTGGCTACAAAGTCCATTTCCGTAGTGTGGATTTTTTATTTTATTGTCTCCTGTGAAAAGAAGACAATTAGAGAATGTTTAGGAGCCAGTCTCTTGTATTTTGGTGCTTTTTAAGCCATAGTGACGTAATCCTTTTAACTAGCACAAAGCTGCTGAGCTCACTTGAGTCATAGGGAGGACGTTCTGCGTGAGTGTGGGAATAGCTCAATTTTCTGTCTTAATTTATGGTATCTACTATTTCTAAAACAGAACATAACTTCTGTTAATAACTAGGGAGATGGGCACATGTGGAGAAGGCAAGAAGAATGGGATTCCCTCAAAAAGCTATATAGATTCCAGATACCAGAACAGGTCAACCTTTTGAATGGTATTTGCTCATGTTTGTTCCAGATCCTTTTACACATCCTCAAAGGATATAGGGTATTGTGGTTGTTTAACATCTCTGTCAGTGACAAAAGGCTCAGCAACAGGCTGAGAGAACTGGGCTTGTTCATCCTGAAGAGAAGGCTCCAGGGTGACCTTATAGCAGCCTTCCAGTACCTAAAGGGGGCTTATGAGAAAGCTGGGGAGGGACTTTTTACAAGGGCATGGAGTGATAGGACAAGGAGCAATGGCTTTAAACTGAAAGAGGGAAGATTTAGATTGGATAAGGAAGAAATTCCTCACCGTGAGGGTGGTGAAGCACTGGAACAGGTTGCCCAGAGAAAGTTGTGGATGCCCCCTCCCTGGAAGTGTTCAAGGCCAGGTTGGATGGGGCTTTGAGCAACCTGGTCTGGTGGAAGGTGTCCCTGCCCATGGCAGGGGGTTGGGAACTAGGTGAGCTTTAAGGTCCCTTCCAACCCAAACCATTCTACGATCCTATGTAAAAGGAACCCATAACAAAGAAGTTGAACAAGTCTTCAGTGGTAGATCTGCTTGCCTTCAACAGACTTGGGAGTCTATATTTGTTGCCCTAAGGACAGCAGCTTTTGAGAGCTAAAGGGTTGATCTGTACAAGGTAGTTAGCTCCCTTCTGACAATGAAATCATCATCTTCCTCTGGACATGTGTTTTGAGGAGGAAGTTCTAGAGCAAGTGTTTTACCCTGGACTTCCCTCTCTCAGCTAATGTTTTCTTCCTTGTGCCAGGACTGCTGTTTGTGTTCATTACGAGGAGGAGCACTGCAGAGAGCCAATGATGACAAGTGAGTGTTCCAGATTTTTTGATCTTAAGGGAGAAATTCAATTCCTAAGTAGCTGAGGGTAAGCTAATAAAGCCAACATCTGCATTTGGTGTAATGGAGTCACCAACAATACCTTTCACACTTTCTGTTACCAGGAGGCTATGGTAATGTGTGTTCGTCATGTTCACATGCAGCAATCATCATCTCTTCAGATAGTGCCTCACTCTTGTTCTGTTGACAGCAGCTGTTAATTGCTTTGCATTTTATAGTGCAGAGGTGTAATGTGCAGAGGTATAATGTACTGCATAAAAATAAGGTTCCTGATGAGATAACATCTCTCAGTACCTTCTCACAGAGGATTTTGATATCTCCATGTAATGTGTGATGGCAATGGAGACAAAGGACAACCATAGCTTTAAGTAGCACAACATACTGAAATTCAGGGTACCTCTGCAGCAAGTATACAGCGTACAACTGCCTGTCCTCTGTCCTTGGGAGTGGTGGATCGTCTGAAGTTATTTGATGCAAAATAGCAGTGGGACAGACTTGTAGCACCATGAAGTAACTGAAACTTGGCCTCCAGAAATTTTGTGGACGTCATACGGAGCCTCAGCCTCTTGGTCATGGTCTCAAAAGTAATTCAGCAGTGACTGAGCAGTTGCTATGGGTCAGGTTTGTGAAGGAATAAATCTGAGGCAGGCTTTTATAATGCAGGTATGCAACCAACATGAGCCACACTAAATTTCTCTCCTGTTAAGCCTGTTAGTAGATTGGAAGTATGAAGAAGTCTTGGTTTTCCCCCACGTGTGCCCTATTACTAGCAGTAGGAAGGAAAATTACACTGCTAGTTCTCAGAGGGTTTTTTTTATCGTGGTTTTTATGGCAACCTTCCAACAGAACTGAATTTACTTAAACTGTAAAGCATCCTCTGTCAGCCTAATGCATATTAACTTCTTTTTCCCCTCTTCTGACCTAACAGGTGGGTTCATGTGATGTGTGCTGTAGCTGTGCTGGAGGCAAAATTTGTGAACATTGCAGAGCGGAGTCCTGTAGATGTTGGCAAAATCCCCCTGCAACGTTTCAGACTGGTAAGGATCACTTCTGCTTCACTGATGGTATTTCAGAAGTGTCTCTCCTGTCCCTTCAGAATTTGGAAGACTTTGTTTATCCCTTCAAACCCAAGTTATCTCCTCTCCAGACTGAACAACTTAATCTGCTCTGTTCTTTGTGTGGGAAATGCAATTGTCCTTCTTGCCACTTTTTTTTATATTTTTTTTTTAAGCCTTTGCCTGTTCTAGTATATGTTTATTCGGATGAGGAGCGAGCAAGGGGGCCACAGTTTTCAGTATGTGGCAAATGACACTTATACAGTGGTGTAATGGTGATAATTGTTTTCTTTGTTATTTTTCTAATCCCTAGTATTTAACTTGCTTTATTGACTGCTGTTGAGCACTGAGATGCTTCAGGATATTCAGGCATTTTTATAATGGGTGAATGTCTTCAGCAAGAAAGCAACTGTACTTAACTCTTAACAGCTCTGTGTTGAGGGGAAAATGACTTTACTACCTCGCATTACAGATAACATTCTTTTCCTACAACAGCCCATCAGGCCTGACCCAAGTGTAATTGGGTCACTGATAGTAGCGATAAAATTTTAACTGCTACTTCTGTGGTCTTTGCCCATTATTCTAATCTTGTTGCTTGTCTTTGTGTAACTTAATAGCCAAGTGCTGAAAGGCCACGTTGACTTCAGAGCGTTGTAGGCTGATTTAATTCAAGATCTCCGGTTGCTAGCATCCTTGGATCGCATGCTTTGTGCATGCTGAGCTGGTAGATATTTTATGTACATTTTTCGTCTGTGGGGTTACTCTAAATTTATGAATTACTTGACTTGTCATAAACTAGAACTGGTAGCCTTCTGCTTCTTTTTAATCAGAAAGTAGCAGTGATCTTAGAGTAAATAGCACAGTGTCAGACTCTTAGACCAGCTAGCCCTTTGTGTGGGGTAAAAGCTAGTGCTAACCAATAACCTCTAGTTTCCTGTCCACAGAAATGCATCTTCTGCAAGAAACGAAGAAAGAGAATTGCAGGTTGCTGTGTACAGTGTTCGCATGGTCGGTGTCCCACATCCTTTCATGTCAGTTGTGCCCAAGCAGCAGGAGTCATGATGCAGCCTGATGACTGGCCGTTTGTTGTCTTCATTACCTGCTTCAGGCATAAGATTCCATCTCAGGCAGAGGTGAGTAGGTGTGTGATTCTCAGGATTTGAACTGCAGTATCTTGGAGGGACTGAAAAGCTTTAGATTGTGTGATTCTTTTAAAACTTTATTGAAGGATTGGTGCTCTCACAATGTTCAGTATAATCTAATGGTGTTGGTCTTGGATTCTGATCTCAACCTTGCTGCTGCTCTGAGTGATCTTAGGTCCTTTATTGTGTTTTGGTTTGCAGCCCAGAAGGACTGAGAGCGTTTCATCCCTCCTGTGGCTGTTGTAGTAAGGAATAATGGTGGGGTTTATGCTGTGATACTTAATATGCAGGAGTTAGTGCTGGGACTCCAGCAGGCTGCATGAGTGGTCATAGAATTTCGTGTTTAAGTGATTGATTAGTTTATAAAGTGCCCATGTAACCCTTTTAGCCATCAAAACCACAACAATCTATTAGAGAATATTTACTGTAAAGGGCTTGCATTGCTCTGAAGAATGATAGCATAATTTACAAAGTAAATTAAGGACAGCGGCATCTAAGAGATGAGGCTTTAAGCATTTGAAATTCCAGAGGCAGAACTTTTCTAAAAATGCTGCTGATGGTGTCTTGAGTAGAGTTACTCACCTGAACTAAAGTATTTGCTTCCTTATCTGCCAGCACTAGAGCTATGTTCCTCAACACATTCTTTATGGAGTCATTGTGTAAAAAGTGATTTTTTTTTTTAATTATTTTTTTTGTGTGTGTCTTCTCAGCGAGCTAAGGCTGCACTCCAGGATCTGTCACCTGGACAGATAGTCATCAGCAAGCACAAGAATGGTCGCTTCTATCAATGTGAAGTGGTCAGCCTTGCAAAGGAGACTTTCTATGAGGTCAACTTTGATGATGGTTCCTTCAGTGATAACCTGTATCCAGAGGACATTGTGGTATGTTATGCAGTGGGAGTCTGGCTCCCGTAGAGGGCACGTGACATGACTCAGTTCTTACTGCTGCAAAGCAGATGCACCAGGGCATTTTGTCATTGTTCCAACCCTAGGTCGTGTTGTGCTGCAAGATGGCCTTAGGGGTGTTACATGAGACTGACTTAACTGAGAGCACATAGGAACAGGTGTAACAGGGAGTGCAGCTAATCTTTGGCTGCTTAGCAGTGGTAGGTCTGAAGGAAAACTTGCTGATGCTTGCATACCGTTCCTGCATGAAGTACTTTGAAGTTGGGCCCACTGTTGGAATTTAAATGCAGATGACATAGATGGATGTCTCTCAGCCTAGTTCTCCATCCCTAAAATGGAGTAATTGTTGGGGTGGTGTGCAATGTGACTGGGATGGACTCCCCAGTGGTTTGCTGAATCTTCATGTAAGGAAGCTGCTTACCCTTCTCCTTGTCTTTCCTGCCTTCCTCCTTTATGTTGTAGAGTCGAGACTGTCTTCAGTTAGGTCCCCCTGCTGAAGGGGAAGTTGTGCAGGTGAGATGGACAGATGGACAAGTTTATGGAGCCAAGTTTGTCGCATCACACGCCATCCAGATGTACCAGGTACAGAATTGTTGCCTGAAAATTCATCATTTGTAACAACTGATTATATTAACAGGGCTGTTCTTAATGCCAGCATAGCTATAGGGTAGTCATGCTTCAACACTTCAGGGGAAGTTACTCAGTGCTGTCAGCGATGCCAGATGCCGGTAACAGTTGCCGGAGTTAAGAGCAAAGTGGTTGCTTGCAGCTCTACTTGTATCTGGCAACCCACTTTCAAGTGTCAGCTTCTGAAAAATTGCTGGTCTGCAGTTCTTCTGCAGACTGTGTTCCTGTAGGTTAAACTACTTAAAATGAGTTTGGTTTTGCTTTTTTCTGTTTAGTGAGAGTGTATCATGCCTTGCACATTTCCAAAGGCATGAATGTTGACGTTGTATTAAAGTGACCAGCCAGACTGTCTTGTTAGGTGTTAAAAGAATATCCCAAAACTTGCTGGGCTACTTTCACTGTCATGGGATTGGCAAGGTTTTGGTTAAAGTCTGTTGTGGTGTGCATACCTGCATACGTATCTTACAGAGTTCAAGTGGTAGATGATTATTTCATAAGGGGCCTCTGTGGGGAGGAGAAGGCAAGCTCTGGGTAGCTGTAGGAGGCTTCTAACTTCTCAGACTTCTGATAGAACTTCTATTTTTCTTCTAGGTGGAATTTGAAGATGGGTCACAGCTGATGGTGAAAAGGGATGATGTATATACTCTTGATGAGGAGCTTCCTAAGAGAGTGAAGTCAAGACTGGTAGGTAAACAGCCTGCAAGCTTCTACTAAAGAAGCTCATTTAACTTAATTTGTCTTTGAACAGCAAGCAGAGTGCGTGGCAGCAAAAGATTACAATCTCATGCTCTCCTCAGTCATTGCAAAGCTTTATTGTTGATCAGGCTACAAAAGCAAAGTTTCTGGAGAGACTGTAATTCTCCTTCTGCAGAGGCAGGAATTTATAGCATAGTCACTGTTTGGGACAGCACGTTAATACCGTTTCATGCCTGTATTGGTAAGTTTCATTGTCTGTTCCCATTGCAAAGAATGGCCACGTTCCTTCACTTACCCTTTGCTCTGAAAAGCTCTTAGTAGGGTGGCATCAAGAAAGCTGGCCATTTTTAAAAACTGTAAAATAATTCAGGTGGGAAATGACCTGCGCAGGTCTCTGCTCCAGACACCTGTTCCAAGCAGGGGTAACTTTGAAGTCAGACAGGGTTGCTCAGGGCTCTCTCCAGTCAGGTTTTGATTATCTGCAGGGATGGAGATCACACAGCCCCTTTAGGTCCCTGTTTTGTTGCTTTATGCTTCCTGGTATAAAAAAAACCATAACTATGGACAGCATGCAAGGGTATCTTGCTGCACAGCATGATCATGCACACCCTAATGTAGAACCTGTTGGCAGGCACACAGGTTGTTAGAAGTTTAAGAAAGAAAGTATCAGCTGAATCCTGTGACCAGGTGTTTAAACACGCCTGCTCCATCAGGCACAAAATGTACTAGACTGCTTGAAAGTTGGAACAGATGACTGTGTTTATTCCTTTAAGAAAGTGATTGTGAACTTAAATTAGCTACTCAGTTAAATTTGAAACCTGTGATTCTTTAGATATCTGGTTACAGTTCACTTAATCTTACCCCCAGACTTTTAAATCCAGTTCCTTAAATATTTTTCTTGTGCTTGGTCAGTTTTTTGAAGGAGGCTGAATGTTCCCAAGTGTCCTGACTTGGTTCTTTCCTACATGCAGTAGGAGGACGTGGAGGCAGAGATTTGATCTGTGTTCTAGTAACTAATTCTGTGGTGTTTTTTTTTTTCCTCTTAGTCAATAGCTTCAGATATGCGCTTCACAGAGATCTTCGCAGAGAAGGAGGTCAGACAAGAGAGGAAGAGACAAAGAGTGATCAATTCACGCTACCGTGAAGATTACATTGAACCTGCGTTGTACCGGGCCATCATGGAGTAAGCACTGCCTGTGGCAGAGAAAGAAGATGCCCACCTCCCCCAAGGATTTAAATGCTCCAGTACAACAGGCCATATTTGGATGCTTCGAATCCAGGGTTTTTTGTTTTGTTTTAAGGAAGCTAAAAAGCTGATGCTCTGCAGTAGCTGAAGGGCAGCTGTTGGATAGTGAAACAGATCCCATTTGCTGAAGCTGATGCTGCAGACTCCTGGTCTGAAGTTGGGTCCTTACTGAATAAGCCAGCTTGGGGGTGTTGCTTTCATCTCGTCGAGCAGTCTTGCTTTTTTATTAGAGACAATTTTGACAGATGGCAAACTCTTTTGGGAGTTGTAGCCAGGAATCTTGGCAGCTGCAGAATAGCACGGTCTGTTGTTTTAATTGAATAATGTTCCTGATTTTGGGAGTCTCCCTGGTGACCACACTGGGGCTTGAGCAGGCAGTATTACTGGTGCTTGAAATTGAACCTCTTTTTATATTTATATCCATCTTTTTGTCGCAAGCAGCTTCGGTCTCTTGTTTCTCAGCACCTCCTTTGAGGGTTGAGCTGTAGGCTGTTCAGATCCAAGCAGACAGGAGGTGCTTGTGTGAACAGGTGAAATGTGAAATTGAATCCTATAGGACAAATTATTTAACCCTCCATTTAATATTTTTGTTCTGATACTTGTTTTGACTTACTTAATCACAAGTTTAACTGCAATAGTATGTGCCTCAGAATCAATGAAATCTGTCTGGAGCCCTGCGCAGTGCAGCCTTCTAACAAGAATAGGCATTCAGCTCCCAATAGATGTTCAGCTCCCAAAGAGTTTCTTTTTAGTTTCTCTCCACCCCCTCTAAGGCAATAATGACCAAAGGGACAGAGTCTTAACTCTCCCTTCTTGAAATCCAAGCATCACAGTATTGGGGATAACAGGGCAGCAGTGTCTGAAGCAGTGCAGTACCTCTTCCGTGGCAGTACTGTCTGTCGTGTGGCCGCAGGCTTTTGCTTACAATAGCTGATACTGGGTCTGAGACAGATAAAGCATGCACTGAACTGTATGGGTTGCGGCAGGGCTGTGCAGTGCTCTTCTGAAGCAGGAGTTCTGCTGTGTTGCTCTCTGGCAAAGGTTACCGCAGCTTCATAGAGTATTAGTAGGGCACATCTCGGTTGTGTTGGCAAGAACTTGCTACCCCAGCAAAAGGAAGCTGAGTTAAGCTGGGTAGTAGGTGTAGCTGGAAGATGTGCCAACTTGCTCCTAGTAATTTAAGCATTAACGCACCACAGTAGGAGCCATGTAAATACATGTTCCTTTCCCATTCTGTAGGAAAGGGATTTTAGGCTATGGAGCAGATTGGCCACCTTCTTTTTGCATGGAATGATGGGGTGACTTTTCCTGCTGGAGAAAACTATGGTTACGTGTTCTCCAGAAACAGTTCAAGAGGAGAATTTTCTAGTGAAACAGACCTAATGCATCCCTGCTTCTATAGGGACATGGCAATGTGTCTGCAAAGTCTGGATTTGTAACTTTTTTCCTTTTGTTACATAGGAACGCTATAAACCAAACTCTTCTGAAACCCCGGTGCATCGATTTGTGATTAGCAATAAAATGTAGTATTGTGTAGTGATACAACTCTTGATCAGAAAAGAAATAAACTACAACTTTTATAAGGAAAATCTTACTTATCCCTACATTTTTATAGAGTCAGGAGGCTGATATGAGTAGCAAAAATTTGCACAACTGCTGTTTTGTGTAGAGGTACTCTGTCCCATTTTTGTGGTGGAATACCTCGTTCATTGGTATTGGAAGGCTTAAACAGATTCTGAAAGGAGATAGTGGCTTTCCTTTGTGGTTCTTTTTTTTTTTTCCCATGTCCAAAACTTCTGGTCTCAGGGTATTAAATCATTTTCTGATGAATGGGATAGCTGGCTTGATAAAACTAGGACCTGGTAAGACCAGAGTCTAGTAGCTGCAATTACTCTGGTCTACACAATGGGAAGGAAATTGCACTTTGACGTCTTAGCTGGTACGTAAGGCTCTCTGAAGTGATGTGCTGTGAGCAAATGTGAAGAGCTAGCAGGGCCTTAACAAGCTTGCCTCTGTTCTGTCAGAGTTAATACGATACTAACTTCTCATAGGCTGAACACTACCTGCATATTACTGAAAACATACTCTTTGTATCATCTGCCATCCTTCCTCCAGAGAAAGAGTGCCTGTGTTCAGGCTTTCTTCCCAAACTGCCATATAACTTAAATGCACCTTTTAGGTGCCACGTGCTACCTGTGCTGCAAACACCTGGCTCAACGGCTTCATCCTAAAATAATGATGTAGTACAAAACAGCTGGGTTTGTTTGGAGTGCTGTTGTTCAACTGCAGCAGGTTTTACCACCCACCTCTAACAGTATTGAGTGACTTTCAAGAGCTCCTGTGCCTAGTATTTGTTCTGGAAGAGGAGCTTTGTTATGCTGCATTTTCTGTGGGCTCCAGATTTGCTCTTGTCAGTTGGCTGCACTGTGTTGCAAACTGCCGCCATCCCGCACTCTGAGACAAAGGGCCTTCCCAATTTTCCCGTCAGTTCTTGGGCTGCATCGTTCAAATGTGAGCATACTTTACCTACTGCAGTGATTGAACTGCGTTTTGGCTTCTCTGTGAATTTAAAACTGGTGACCCTGACGTTTGAAGGGTCTGTATTATTTGACTTTGCAAAAACAATTGGTTTTATGGCTTGAAGTATAACAGGTAGCAATAAAAGCTCTTTACAGAGCAGCTGTCTCAAAGGTACATACGCTTTCTGTTACCTGTACTTTTGATCTTGACTGGTAATAATTTTCTACAGTGGTTTGTTTTTGGAAGTGTATTTATCCCTGTTACAGCATCATTCCAGTGAGGGCAAGGTGCTGCCAGAGTATCAGCTAGGCAAGTGCTTCTTCAATGTATTCAGTAGGAAATCACGCTCGGTATACCCCACAGGAGCGCTGATGGCCCTTCATTAAGTCCATTGCGTGTGATGCTGCAGGCGGTAGACCTCCTCACTTCACTTTTCATGAAGCATCCATCTGTGACTGGTTCAGGTTGGACCCATAAAAAGCATTTTTAGTATAAACAAATAGTGGCTTGCCCTTAATTCAGGATGAGCTTGACAAGCCAGTGATTACTTTTTATAGGGTTTAAAAAGGTGACTGTATTCTTTGTAAAGCAGCTGATTGCAGTGATGTTTCTGCCTGTGGCTGGACTTCCAGGAGACCTCTTTCTCCATCAGCAGACCCCTCAGATGACCAGAGACACTACTGTCAGTAGTAGGACCTATTCTCCTTGCTCCTTCTCTCCCTTCCCAGTGTTTTGAGCTGGGTTGAATTGATTCTGCACTGTTTGAGGAGTGTGGCCACATATCCCAAGGCTTCCAATGCATCTTTCTTCTTCCATTCTCTTAACTGGGCTCCTGTTGTCTGACATGTCTGCAGTTGTGCTTGTTTTTTTTAATGCAAACATGGGATGAAATCAAGACTCTGGTAGCCTGTATGTTGTTTTCAATTTCATCAAGTAATAAATCTAATTTCAAAATGGACAATCTGTAGACTAATTTAAGAACTAAAGCAATGTAACTTGGAAATTCTCATCATGCTTCTAATTTTTCTATTAGCATTACTCCTTTCTAATACTCATCTCCTTAATGCTTATCCAGTGAGTTCTCAGGTGTCTTTCAGAGACGCTGAACAGAGTTCTGTTATTTAAGGACTCAGTCCAGCATGGCTAGGACAGGGACAGAGCCACAGAGTCCCTCCTCATTGAAGTACAGACCCGAGACATCTGCAGTAAGAGCCGAAGTTGCCTTAGGCTTCCAGTTGCACTCTGTAGCTGAGTGGCAGTGCCAGAAGAGGAGTCATCAGAAAATCTTACCTGGGTGCAGAGTCAAACAGCTCTGTTCTTTACTTTGGTGTTGACTCTTGAATTTCACAGTGCTGGTTAAGAGTTGCTGAACTGGCAGTCAGGGAAAGGAGATTCTTCTACCTTAGCTCAGGGATTTTTGTTACTGATACACCAAGTGACCTTGAGTAAATTGCTTACTCATTGTAGCATTATTTCGGCCCATATCTTTGGAGCCTAAAGTGCCAGGTATTCCTGGAGCCAGCTTTTGTAGTTTGGGAAGATGTTAATGTCTCCTTTTCCCTGACAAATTTGTAGACATTACACAGAACTTTTAAGTATGTGCACTTGGGTTAGTGTATAGTAGTTTCGGTTCAACATGAACAACATGGGGTATTGCTAAAAGTCAAAATAAGCCTTTTTCCTCTTTTCCTATAATCATTCTTCCTTTCTTTGCATTGCTGTTAGAGCTGTTCAGCAGCTTTATATTTCTCCCTCAAATGATTAAAGAGTGCAACACTTCAGGTGGGGTGAGTGTGTTGCTTGGTTCCAGTAACGAGCATAGCTGAGGGTGTGTATCAGTAGTTTCCTTTGAGCTCACCAGAATGGTCTACAAAGCAATGGGAAACGCTCACCTGATTGCTATCTTTTGAGGAATCTGTGGCAGATCCATGAAGAAACATTGCCACAGATTCCTTGCTGTAGCATGAGTAATGTGACAAAATGCTGAAGTCAAACTTCTGACAGCACCTAGCAAACGAGGGAAATGTGTGGGATGGTACTGGGAAAAGATTAAAATCATATAGTACATGTGTTTAATTTCTAGACAAAACTGAGTGAAGGTAGAAGAGCTGGAAAAGAGGTGTCCTTGGCCTGTAATTCTGTGTTTAAGTTCTCACTTTTATGAATGGTCTTAGTGGGCTGTGAACACCGTCAGTGCACGATGCAAGAGGGAAATGAAACAGGCCTGCTGTCTGGGCTCTTCCCCCATAGCTGGGGGAGTTAGTCCCAGGGGAGTCGCTGCCTGGCCTACCCAGTGTGGGCCACTCATGCTGCAAGAGGACCCAGCACCCCAGGAACTGGGATGCTCTCATCTTTATCTGCGCTGCTGGCTGAAGGAAGGGCTCCCTCCTCACAGGCTGTAGGCAAGGTGGTGGCTGATGTGCTGGGATGTTTACATACTCAGGCTGAAGTCCTCTATGTAAAGTTAGGAGAAACTTGTCTTTGCAGCTCAAGAATTTGTACCAGCCGGTCTCGTGTCCAAGCAGTACCTGTGACTGCACTGTGATACATTACATACAGGTACACTATAGACCAAAGCAAACTCTTTCAAGAAGTAATGAATCAAGTCCACAGTCATAGAATCATAGAATTGTTATGGTT